TCTTTTCTAGTTTATATTTCTGAAATGGCTTCAACTTTGAAGTGAAGAATACGATATGTGGCTCCTGTATTTAGGGGCCCCTTGACACCAAATATCAGCTTTAGTGTGATATTAATACATAATATTGCAAAAGAGTCCATATATACTACTGATATTACAAAATAACATTAATTATCCTCTATGGCACCCCCCAATCTGTGCGGAGGGAAACCACATGCAGGTTGTGTTTAAGAAATTCAATGTGCTGATAAAATGATTTTTTGGTGAAGATATCTTCCAATTGAAGATGAGAGGGAATATGTTGAACATGTAAATCACCATGAGCTACCCTGTTCCCAAAAATGTTGATGTGTTTACTATGATCACATTGTACAAATATTCACACAAGAAACACACAGAGTCAAAGTATACACCCAACTTAGCTATAAGTGATTTGAAAATTTTCCCAAATAGATTTGCTATAAATGGATTTTTCCCATTTGGTTGATATGGGAATGTTGCAATTACACCAAATATTCTAAGTCTTTTTCTTTGTGCATTATTAAATTTTAACGACGACATCCTAAATAACTGGTGCAAATTTCTAACTGCAAGCAAGGTGGTTGCCATTGGAGAGTGTGGATTGGACTATGATAGGCTTCATTTTTGCCCTTCTGATATTCAGAAGAAGTATGTATTCCTTCTAGTACATCAATCTCCCTGCAATTTAAGTGGGTTCCTGTTGAGTTTCTTGTCTCCCACCCCCCACTGGAAGGTTCATTGTCACTCTTTAAGTGATTTAGCTTTTCCATGATCTTGAAATTCAGATACTTCGAGAAGCAATTTGAATTAGCATCTATGATGAAGCTGCCTATGTTTCTTCACATGCGAGCAGCTGGCCATGATTTTTGTGACATATTTAAAAGGAATTATGATCAGTAAGATCGGTTACTCGTGAAAAAAGAAACATAACAAACCTTTTGCATTAATAATTTCTTACAGTTACACCTTGCTATCGGATAATAGAAGGAGAGTCATATAATCAACTGATTACAAGAGTTCTGTTTTTCTTCACTTAATGGAGATTACTCAGGTTGAAGTATGAGTTGTTTTTTGTTTACCAACCTGATCCGTTCCTATCATTTACAGGTGTTGTGCCGGTGTTGTTCACTCTTTCACAGATAGTGCAGAAGATCGAGACAAGCTTCTCTCATTCAATAATCTTTTTATAGGTAATCCTTTTCGCCTCACTCCCCAACTTTTTAGCATATCATGCTTCCTGTTGAGTATCCTACATGAGTCAACAGTTGGGTCTGGGTCTTGTATATAAGTTCATCAGCTGAGGATACTTTTGGGTGATTTAACCCAAGTTAAGTTGGTATCAGGGTCTAATATATTGGTAGTTTTTAATGGTGCTTGCCCACTTGATGGTTTCAGGGAGCACCTTTATGTTCAGTTTGTCCACCCTTTAGAATATTCAGCCCGTCTTGGAGTGAAGGGTGTATGTTGACTCCTCATATGTTGTCTATTGGTTTTGAGTTTAGTATATGAGTGCGAGGTAAGCATCATCATTTAAGGATCCCTTTGGGATGGTTTAAGCCCAATTACGCAACTGTGTATTTTTTAGGGTGTCGATTGTTGTATTTTTGTTAGGGAAATATCATCTCTTAAGGGTCTCTTTGTGATGGTTTAAAGCCCATTTCAACAACTCTGTATTCAACATCATCCTTTTGAGCATGTGCTTAATCCTTGTACTGTGTTAGGTGTCAATGGTTGTTCTTTGAAGACTAAAGAGAACATCGAGGTTGTTAAGGGCATTCCTATCAATAGGATGATGATTGAGACTGATTCTCCTTACTGTGAAATCAAGAACACACATGCTGGGTCTCGTTTTGTGAAATCTTTGTGGTCGTCTAAGAAGAAAGACAAGTATGATGAAGAATGTCTCGTTAAAGGTCGCAATGAACCATGTTTGGTTAGGTGAGTAACCAATGAACTTGCATCTTTCTGATTCAAATATTTCCACCTATTCCCTCGATCACTTATCAGTCAATTTATTGTATTTCTGCTTGATAAGTGACCAGAAAGAACCAGAGGTGGCAATAGCTATACTCCATGAACAAAAAGAGGAAAAAACTGAAAGTTAGAGATCAATAGTATGAATGACCTGATAGTCATCATGAGACTAAAAGTGACACTTTCTATTGATGTAACATATATATCAATGTTTTAGGTCCAGCAATTGTATTTAGCGGGGTAACTAATCTCAACTTGTAGGCAAGTAGTCGAGGTCATTGCTGCCACTAAAGGCATAGCTGACATTGAGGATTTTAGCAAAACATTGTATCACAACACTTGCAGGTGCATGATTAAATCAACACATGCTCCTACTTTTGCACGCATTGCTTCCCTAAAGATATTCGACTTTTAGTACTAATGGATCTGTATGCATGGTGATGGGGTTTGCAGGGTTTTCTTTCCTCATGATTTGGATTCGGTGGCTGATGCGCTTCTGGCTAGCAGTCACTAATCAGTGTGATGAACCATTTGTTTGAGAGTTCTCTGCTAATTTTGTAGTCTTCTACTTCATTCCAATCATCGTTTATGGTACATTCTGAATGTACATATTCATTTACTGTCGTGTGTTACTGATTTTGCTACTTTGTTTTTTTGATGACTCGAAGTTTTTTTATGCATTTAGAATTTTGGAGGAAGCTTAAGCACAAGTCCACCAAGAAGTTTTTTATGTACTTCATTCCACAGAATTGGTGTCTTAATATTATTTCAGATTTTCTATTCCAGTAGTTGCAATCCAGCTCTTCTTCCTGGTTTTTATGATCGCGAATCCAACAATGGCGAGCAATTGCACATTATTAGTGTTGCATTAGACATTAAATACTTGTCATAGCACTAGACATTGACGAAGCTTGATAGAAATTATCAGAATAAATTTCACTTTTGGTCATACGAGTTTTAGGTGATTTCCACATTTAGTCCGCATCTTTTACTTTGTTCACTTTTGGTACATGACTATTGTGTTTTCGCCCATATATCGTCCTTCCGGCATTGTTTCCGATGGTTACAATTGCCGGAAAAGGATCACAAACGGTTAAAAAACATTAGTCAAGTACCAAAAGTGGATGAAGTGAAAGACGTGGACTAAAGGTAGGGATGGACTCGGGCCGGGCCAACCGGCCCGGAACCGGACCGGCCCGCTACTGTGCGGGCCCGGACCGGCCCGGTCAACCGGTTCGGTTCCGGTTCGGGCCTCCAGGCCCGGTGGTATACCGGTCCGGGCCCGGGCCTCCAGTTTAGTGAACCGGCCCGGCCGGGCCGGGCCCGGTTCGGGCCGAAATTTAATTTTTTTTTTTTTTTTTTGAAATTTTTTTAAGTTTTGGGTTGGATTAGGTATTTTGGGCCATTTGAGGTGGTTTGGGGTGGTTTGGGGTGGAGGGGGAGGGGTAGGGGGTTAAATAAGAGAAGAAGAAGAAAAAAAAAAAAAACATTCCGGGTGGCCCGGCCCGGCCCGGCCCGGTTCTGGCCCGGAACCGGAACCGGAACCGCCCACCACCGGTTCGGGCCCGGGCCTCCTATTTCTGAACCGAGGCCCGGCCGGGCCCAGGCCCGAACCGGGCCCGAACCAGAACCGGTCCACCCTTAACTAAAGGTGAAATTGGCACAAAACTCGTATGACCAAAATGAAATTAATTCAAATTATCATGCAGTGAAGACATTATTGTCCATATTCTTGAGTGGTTCTGTGATAACCTTACTCTGAGGCAAAAAATGCATGACAATAGAGTTTATTAATTATTTTCCATCGACATTGGTGGACATAATTGATGGCATTGGCAGTGAGAGGTGGTGATGGATATTTGCTGACGGCAATTGGCGGGGGGGGGGGGGGGGGGTATAGAACTCAGACCGGAATATCTATTTCCGGTTTTGGGCTGGTTTCGATCTTTCCCTGTTAGGTCCCGGTCCTGGTATATTGTTTTTTTGGGTTTAAGTATATTTTTAGTCTCTAAATAGTATATTTTGTGTTATATTTGCGCAAAAATACTTTTTTATTTTCCATCCTTCAAATTTATGATGATTTTCTTTTTAGTCCATCATCAATGATAATTATTCTATTTGAAAAGGAAACAACCCTGACTAATAGATGTCCTCTCATTCTTTGTCATGTTATTAAAAAAGTATATAATTTTATTTTTTAGAAGGTTCTTATTACATATTTTTTAAAATGTAAATATTTAGTTATACATTGTTATTACTCTCATATTAGCCTTCAAGAAATTATAAAAGCATAAACTTAAAGGTTTCTAGCAGATTTATACAAGTGGCAATAACATTTTTTTCTAATTAGTGTGATTTCGGAGTTAGAGATGAATTAAAAACAAAATAGAACATATTACAAGGATGAAAACAAAAAATATTTTGCAAGGACCAAAAATAAAAATGTCATATTTACAAGGATTAAAAGTGTATTTAAGCCTATTTTTAATATGATTCTTTTAATGTTTCCCATGAATGAATTGTGAAAATGGACCAAATAGAGACCAGACCATTAAAATCACTTATAACTAGGCCTGGACTCGGGCCGGGTCGGGCCTTGGATGTTTGGGAGCAGGCCTGAGCCCGGCCCGTGCCGGTTCGGGCCGGATCACCCGCCCAGGTCCCGGGCTGGGCCACCCGCTGGGTCGGGTCGAGCCTATTTTTTTTCTTTCTCTACTTATTTATACAACTTCAAGGGCATTTATGTGAAATAGGAACTACATTTGAGAATTGAGAACAAAAATACAATATGAAATACATTTTCTAATAAATAATAATATAATTAATTCTAAGTTGTAAGTTTGTAACCAATTAATTAATTTGAGAAGTGCTACATATAAAAAAAATTAATGTATATTTATTAGAGATATGAACTACAAGTTTACAAATTACAATAGAGAATTGAGGGGAAAATTAAAACAAGAAATACATTTTATAATACTCCGTAAATTGTAAAATACTAATCAATCGGAATCTCCGGCATAGGAGCCACCCTCGGTTGTTGATTCATCCATAAAGTCTTGGGAGGGGGTGATGCTAATTTCTTGAGTTCTACGCATGGCCTTCAACCAATCGTGGTAGCATATAAGCGTCTCAAGAGACTCTGCGCTCAAACTCGTTCTAGATGCCGTTAGGACGTTGCCGGCCGAACTAAATTCTTGTTCCACGTCAACTGTTGAAACCGGCATTGATAGGACTTGCTTAGCCATCCGTGCTAAAATCAGGAACATTCTTTCTTTTGACTTCCGCCACTTTAGAACGTCAAAATCCTCATTTTCGTCAAATTCTACCTCATAATTTATATACAAAGAAATCTCATTAAGTGCGCTTTGTTCAGTAGTGTGAGTTGTTTTACTTTTTTTCATAAGATTGCCAAAAGCAGATTTAAAAAGTGATTTTCCTTTAGATGAAGATGTTTGTGTCGGGGAGGGGGCGCGTTGCCATATTGTGCATGGAACTCATTAAATAAGGCATAAAATAAATTATCAACCTCGTTGTTTTCAACTTGCGGATCTATGGCGTTATCGACATACATTGGAAATGGACAAAAAAAAGCATGATAATAGAACTTGAAACATTCTTCCAAATTACCAAGTCTAAAACAAGGATCGAGAATAAATGCAATACCATAAATATGCGGAATATGTGCATAATATTTTAAAAACTTTTCCTTCATAAAATTACAAAAATAACTCACGTAAGCGACATTCTCAAATTCATTAAAAGCACTGGCGAGATTAACAGTTTCACGAATAAATGCGTTTGAGGTAGGTTTATAAACATGACTAAAACTTTCAGTTGCATTATTAAAAAATATCAAAACATTACAATTTTTTTCGCAAGTATCAATGTGAGCGGAGTTTAAAATATAGTTATCATATTGTCTTAAAAAAGCAGGAAAATGTTCTTTATATCTAAGATGAACTTTAATTAATTTATAAATACTATTCCAGCGAATAGACAAATCTTTAGGAAAAGCAACATATTTCACATCTCTTTCAGTCAAATGATTTTTCCATTTTAATTTAAGTTGACCATTACCCCAATTACGTCTAATCACCCCCTTGACTACCTCCATAGCATCTCCTAACGCTTTTATACCGTCTTGCACACATAAATTTATAACATGACATGCACATCGTTGAAGAAAAAATCTACCCATCAAAGTATTAGAACCACACAATTCACGCAATCTAGGTATAGCAGTATTATTAGTAGCATTATCAAAACCTATAGCAAACACCTTATCAATCAAATTATACTCATTTAAAATATGTTCAATCAAAATATAAATATGTTCAGCGGTGTGACGATCATTAAATTCACGAAAAGCAAGAACAAGTTTATGCAAATTCCAATCATTATCAATAAAATGTGCAGTCAAACCCAAATAATGTAAATTATGATAAGTATCCTCCCAAATGTCAGAACAAATAGTAGCACGTCCATCAAAGTTTGCAAAAAAAATTTTGTAACCTATTCTTTTCCGCACGATAAAGCCTTATAATTTCTTTCTTAACCGTTTTGCGACTATAACCTCTATATTGAGGATTTAAATAAGTTTGTGCATAATCTTTAAAAGCAAGACTTTCAGAAAACAAATAAGACAAATTTCTTCAACAAGTAAGTTTGTCATACCTGTCAAATTTTGTGCATCATTGTATGAGAAATTACCAAAAGGTTGGTCATTTGCAAACCTCGATATTTGAGTTTGCTTCCCCTTGTCTTTTGATATTTTCGCATACTCCACCAAGTGCGCGGACTTAAGATGCCTTGTGAGGCTCCCGTATCCGCTGGAAGTTCCCAAGCTATACTCCTTATTGCGATGATTGCAACTTGCGTACCATTTCTCGGTTGTTTTGTCTTTCCTCTTTGTAAAATTATTTTCTATAATAGGAGATTTAGATTTCTGACCAAGTTGGGATGAACCACCCATGTCCTCCAACTCTTGCTCATCATCTGGGGTGCCGTGACTGCCATTGCCCCCCGCGTCCTCCTCCGCATCCTCATCCTCGAGCTCGTCTTCGTCAATGGACTCCGGGATGTTTTGTTGATGGAAAAAGCGACCATCATTTTGCGCCAATAGTTGTTGTAGTTGCTCGTCGGACATCGCATCCCCATCTCGCCTTTTGTATTCCGTTTCAAAATCTTCTCGACTTTGAGAAGAAGACTCGGCCAGCCCTTTACCTTTGCCTTTGCGTAAACTAGGATGAGTTGTCGCAATCTCCTTCCTTCGGTTGCGTTGGAGATTACCCATATCTACAGAATGTCTACCACGGTCTATCTTTAAAATGTAACAAATATTATATTATATCAAATGTTTTAATATGAGTACAATAGTAACAATGAAATGCAACTAATAAAATTATAGCAAATTTCCAAGAATCTAAGTACTTTAATAAAATAGGAGTAATGAAATTCGAATACTTTGAGTGTGTTTATTCAAATAACAAGTGTGGTTATTAACATAACAACTAATATATTAAAATGATTAACTAGTTTTTTTAATAATTGAAAAACGTAGCAATGAGCCAATGAAGTAGTTTAAATCTTGAACAAGTTTAAAGTATTAAACGAAAGAAGTATTAAATTTTAATTAACTAATAGGATAATGAGAAATGTAACAATTAACTACTTTTATACTTTGAGTATTAAAGTATTAAACGCAACAAATATTAAATATTAATTAACTAATAGGATAATGAGAAATGTAACAAATAACTACTTTAAATCTTTAAAAATTAAACGAGACAAGTATTAATTAACTAATACTATAATGACAAATGTAACAAGTGTGCTTATTAAAATAACAACTAATATATTAAAATGTAACAATTAACTAGTTTTTTTAAGAATTGAAAAACGTAGCAATGAGCCAATGAAGTAGTTTAAATCTTGAACAAGTTTAAAGTATTAAACGAAAGAAGTATTAAATTTTAATTTACTAATAGGATAATGAGAAATGTAACAATTAACTACTTTTATACTTTGAGTATTAAAGTATTAAACGCAACAAGTATTAAATATTAATTAACTAATAGGATAATGAGAAATGTAACAAATAACTACTTTAAATCTCAAAAAATTAAACGAGACAAGTATTAATTAACTAATACTATAATGACAAATGTAACAAGTGTGCTTATTAAAATAACAACTAATATATTAAAATGTAACAATTAACTAATTTTTTTTAATAGTTGAAAAACGTAGCAATGAGCCAATGAAGTAGTTTAAATCTTGAACTCGTTTAAAGTATTAAACGAAAGAAGTATTAAATTTTAATTTACTAATAGGATAATGAGAAATGTAACAATTAACTACTTTTATACTTTGAGTGTTAAAGTATTAAAGCAACAAGTATTAAATATTAATTAACTAATAGGATAATGAGAAATGTAACAAATAACTACTTTAAATCTTAAAAAATTAAAAGTGACAAGTATTAATTAACTAATACTATAATGACAAATGTAACAATTAACTAGTTTTATACTTTAATGAGAAATGTAACAATTAACAAATTAACTTATAGGGAAATGAAAAATGTAACAATTAACTAGTTTTATACTTCAATGATAAATGTAATAATTAATAAAAAAATGTAAGTAATAGAAAAAAAATGAATGAATGTGTATACTAATTAATGGGAGTGTGCGTTTATAAGTAAGTAGGATGAATTTAATTACTATGAATTCAAGTGTAACTAATATAATTGTATAACTAATATATAATATAATGTTTATAGTATATAAAGTATAAGTATATTACTATAAGATGAGTAATACACTTATATTTAATACTTTAATATATATAAGTAAATAACAATAAGTACAGATAAGTAGATATCAAAGTAAATATTAAGTAGATAATAAATATTAGTAATATAATATATGTATATATAAGTAGATAATTAATATATAAGTAGATATAATAATTATATAAATAATATGTATGTGTGTGTGTGTGTGTGTGTGTATATATATATATATAGATATATATATATGTATGTATATGTAGAGAGAATTGGAGAAGATGAAGATGGAGAAGATTGAGTATTTGAGTTATTGAGTATGAGAGAATAGAGAATTAGAGAGTAGGATAGTACGAAGATGGTGTAAAAAAATGTATAGAAAATAGGAGTATAAATAGGAATTTTTGGTAACCCCCCACCCCCCAAAACCCCCGGACCCCCCCCTCCTAGGCCTCCAACGGCTATAGAGCCGTTTGGGAATAGTCCCAACGGCTAGGAGGCCTTTTAAAATATTTTTTTTTTTTAAAATTATAGCCGTTTGGCCCGGACTGGGCCCGGACCGGCCGAGCCGGTTCATTATTTACAAGGCCCGAGCCCGGACCGCTACTCGCCCGGGTCGGGTAGGCCTGAACCGGCACCCAGACCGGTTCCCGGGCCGGGTACAAACAGTGCCGGTCCGGGCCGGTTCTGGGTCGGTTGGCCCGGCCCGAGGCCACCCCTACTTCTAACCGAATCATTAATATCAATCACAGTCCAGTGATCCAGTCCCAAGAACAGGCTGGGGTCAGTTCATGAATGAGTCCACACTCCACCGTATAATTAGTTAATGTGGACATTGATTCTAACATTCATGTGTACAATTAGTTATAGTGATTGGACATTGATTCTAACAACAATTGGGAATTTGGGAAATGTCAAGACTATTGGGTCAAGTTATGTGTATAAGATTATTTTAGTCTCACCGTTTATGATTTATCGTACAAGTAATAAAGGTATTAGAAAGTCGTTTGTTTTTCACAATCTATTAGAATATTAGAGGTTGTAGTGTTGTACTTTGACTCTCATTAGAATTTAGAGTTAATGACTCGGTCTCAAAGTTAATGTGACAATTTAGAATTTGTACAAGTTCTGAGACAAGCTTACAAAAATAGTTCCTTTTTGTTTGTTTGTTTTCTCAGAACAAACACATGTATGAGATAAAACGGACTCTTAGAATATCCACAGAATTACAGAAATGATGGATCTAATGCGTCCAATTCATCCCTCCATTAAAAGAGTAAAAGACCAATTTATATTTGCATAGCTAACATGCATAGCTAGCGTGTGACTAGAAATAATGAAATATTAAGCCATAATTTTTATATCTTGCCATCGGAAATGAGGGGATTGCGAGCAAAAATCAATCAAGATGGCAATAGGCACGGAGATTGCAACAGTTCTGATTTTCACTTCAAGAAATAACCCAAAACTTCCTCAAAGTTTTGACAATATAATCGTCCGTACAACGGTACAACCATGAACCAACTAGTACTGGACATGCAATAATACAAATACATGAAAAGTGACTTTGAGCTAGGGTTTGGTCAGTCTTTAGTAAATCCTACTCCTAAAACAAGAATGTCATCATCAAAGTAGGCATGGACCCGGGCCGGGTCGGGCCCGGGCCGGGTCAAGGCCCGGTCGGGCCTCGGGTCCTATAAGGGTAGGCCCGGGACCGGCCCGGTCAATGACCGGTTCCGGTTCGGGCCGGGTCACCCGCCCGGGTCACGGGTCGGGCCACCCGCCGGGCCGGGCCGGGCCGGGTCAATAAATTTTTTTTTTTTTTATATTAATTATATATTATACAAATTGCTATTAAAAACAAAGTTCAAGTGCATTTATTTGAAATAAGAACTACATTTGAGAATTGAGAAAAAAATAACAATACGAAATACATTTTGTAATGAATATCAATTGGGATTTCCGCCACCGTTGGTTGTTTTCCCTTTGTCACAAGACTTCATATGTTTTATTGGCATCCCGTATCCGTATGAACCCCCCAAGCAACACTCTTTCTTGCACCACCTGCAAGTTGCCCACCACAGTCCGGTCTTCGGGTCCTTCCACTTGTCAAAATTGTTTTGCATAAGAGAAGATGTACTTTCCATATTTAAAATGGTATATGTATAACACTATAAGTAATTAAGTAGGAATGTAGGATAATAAGAGAAGATAAAGATGGAGAAGAGTTTGAGAAGAATTGGAGAGAAGGTGTAGAAAAATGTTAGAAAATAGATGTATTTATAGGTGTTTTTGAACCCCACTCCCCACACCACCACCCCCGGGACCCCCCTGCCCCCCACCCATAGCCCCAACGGCTATATAGCCGTTTGGGAGCTTTGAAATTTTTTTTTTTTTTTTTTTTTTTTAAGTTATACACATATTGTAAAATAAATTAATTAATTTAATGAATTAAGTAAAACTAAAACAAATGTTACAAAATAGGTGTATAAGTATTTAAACAAATTACATATTCTAAATGTATTTTTAATTTAAAAACCGGCTTTATATTTTAGAAAAATAATTTTAAGTCGTTAGATTGTAACCAATTAATTAATTTGAGAAGTGCTACATATGAAAAAGTGAACACATATTTATTTGAAATATGAAGTACAAGTTTACAAATTAATTTGAACTACAACTACAAATTTACAATTTTGAAATATGAAGTACAAGTTTACAATTTTGAAATATGAAGTACAAGTATAAATAAATTTGACAAGTGCTATAAAATACATTTTGTACTAAATTCTAAAATACTAATCAATCGGAATCTCCGGCATAGGTAGAGCCACCATCGGTTGTTGAGTCATCCATAAAATCTTGGGAGGGGGTGATGCTCAATTCTTGAGTTCTACGTGCGGCCTTCAACCAATCGTGGTAGCATATAAGCGTCTCAAGAGACTCCGCGCTCAATCTCGATCTAGATGCCGTTAGGACGTTGCCGGCCGAACTAAATTCTTGTTCCACCGCAACTGTTGAAACCGGCATTGATAGTACTTGCTTAGCCATCCGTGCTAAAATCGGGAACGTTCTTTCTTTTGACTTCCACCAGTCTAGAACGTCAAAGTCATCATTTTCTTCAAAATCAACTTCATATGTTAAATACAAAGTAATCTCATTCAATGCGCTTTGTTCAGTGACGTGAGTTGTTTTACTTTTTTTCATAAGATTGCCAAATGCAGATTTAAAAATCGATTTTCCTTTAGATGAAGATGTTCGTGACGGGGGAGGGGGAGCGTTGCTATATTGTGCACGAAACTCATTAAATAAGGCATAAAATAAAGTACTAACCTCGTTGTATTCCGTTTTCGGATCTATGGGGTTATCCTCATACATTGGAAATTCACCGAAAAACGCAAGATAATAGAAGTTGAAACAATCTTCCAAATTAGCAAGTCTATAACGAGGATCGAGAATAAATGCAATACCATAAATATGGGGAATATGCGCATAATATTTTAAAAACTTTTCCTTCATATGATCACAAAAATAATGATGATCAAAGAAAGGACAACTAGGTTTGTTCTTAGTGCTTACCTTCCATAAACTAACCAAATATGGCAAATGGCCAACTACGTTCAATCAGTTTCCCTGGGGCTTCCTTGGATCACAGCAAGCGGAGGGTAGGATTGGTTTTAATTTTTAAAGTTCACTAATAACTTGTCTCTCATTTCATTTTTAGACTAGAATTAACTAATCATGTTATTCAATGTAGTTCTTTTATTTCCAACCATTCAAGGTTAGAAATTATTTACCACCTCTCTTTGCACCCATGGGAAATCATCAACCCAAACACGCCTTCAAGACCTGATTTCATAACATTCACTATCCAAATATGGGAGAAAGCATCTCCACACATCGAGTCACATATACCAATCTAACGAAAGGGCCTTGGTGTCTTTGAATCACAAAGAACATAAATTCACATAGTAGTAGTCCAAAACTCAAGTGCACTGTGCACAGACGAGCTAGCCTCTTGAAGAAAGAAAATCCTAAGCACCTTAAGTATATCACAGGCTACGTCTGGAGAATACACCCTTTCTCAGCCATTGCCGGTGGACTTGAAATGATGCTCATCTATTGTGGAGTAAACCAGCCCTTCTGCTTCCAGAGATTCAATTGCTAGTCTGTTTGGAGGGAAATTTTCGGGGGAGGGGGGTTGAGAATTTTAAATATGAGTTAGCATTTTATCTGCATATGTGTGTGGTACTGTGGTTGGGTCTGATATATAAAAATGGGAGAAAGAGAGTTACGATATCTTTTCAGGGGGGACATTTAGCTGGTCAGCAAGCTCCTTCCGGTGAACCCCTTTTTCCCGTGCACTGAAATAGGAGGATAATATTAGAGTCACAAACAAAGTTATTATATCAGCAATTGCATTTTCATCTGCCAATCTTATGTGAATCCACTAAAGAGCCAATCCATTTGCCAAGTTTTCCAAAATCACCAATGTACCATGTTTTCTAGAAAATTATACTACTCCGTATGTATTTATAAAAAGGCAAGTACAAGTTTCTTTTATCATATAAAACATCCATTGATCCAAGCTCCAAGCCCTTACAGTGCCCAAAAGGGAAAAATGTCTCATTACAACACGTATAGATGACTTGTACTCCAAATCCATCATTAAGTAGAACATTCGCATCTATGAATAGAACTACACATGAGATTTCTAACTAGCAAGCAAATAGATTGTGATTTTGTACAACTTACAGGCAAGAAGGCTGCTGCAAATAGTTCAACACCATTTCTTCTACACCTGTAATTCTATCCATGCTGTACCCAGGAAACTAAAGCCAGAGATACATCGTAAATTTAGTTTAATAATTCCCAAATAAATAATGGAGATCAGTGATTAAGGATAACCTCACATTTTGCTGGGAAACTTGGTATCCCTTCGTAGGTGTGTTTGAATATGGCATGTGAGGAGCAGCGGCAGCGGCAGCGGCAGTATGAGCACTACTCTCTTGAAGCTTCTGTGAATATGATTAGAACTTCAGGAAAACAACAGCAAAGAACAACAAACAACAACAACAAAGGCAGCCAGGTGCAGACTGACGTCCCCACAAGATGAGGGTCTAAGAAAGGGTCCCATCACCAGGGTTTATTAGGGGCAAGAGGCCGTTCCAAAACTTGAACCAAAATAAAAGTTAATCAGAAACTAAGAGTAAGCTATATCAGATTGGAACTTTATATTAAAAATCTGCTGAATCAAAGAGGAAGTCTGCAGAAGTTAGTTATTAGGGGTACCCGTATCTTTGTGTTGTGGCAATAAGCATAAATAGCTTCAGCAATGTGATATGCAATCTCGTTATAATCCTCCACAGGTCTGAAATTTGCAGAACAATGAATTTATAAAGCACAACAGAGGTTCTTGTATTATTTTATACTGAAACTCACTGTCACAATTATAGAAACAACAAAACCAAACTAAACTCAAACAAAGTTGAACTTTTCAGTCCAATAGCAACTTTCCAGCTGACCAATAAACCAAAAAAAAACGAAAAAGTTACAGAAATGAACAAACACACATAGAAGCTTGTGTAAGAGTCAGTCTAATAATGGATTAAAATATTTCAAATGTTTCTCAATAATATTTTGGAGTTCCAAAATCAAGGCTCATCCACATTTCGTTATCATGAAAGTGTAGAATCAGAATTCATATAAAGTTCTATAGGAGAAAAATATACAGGAGTGATATGTGGTCGAAATACATATGAGTATGTTATTTAATGTTAAATTCCATCTACTCCACCACAGGATTTATCTGATGAAGGGGAGCACCAGAATTTGGAAAAGCCACAGAATGTAAGTGTGCAGTCACTAATACTATGTACCACAAACTGGTAGTCCTAAACTTATGTTTTCATCCAAGCTACCCAATGATGATTACTATTTCAATATTTATAAACAGAGTGAGACTTTCATCTTTGTCCATAAAAGTGAAGGAAGTAGGCAACTCCATGGAGCTTTTAAATTCATATTCATCTTGCTACACATGATTTACTACCAGTAGAACAAAGGAACACAAAAAGCATACTCAAACCAAGTATTTCTTTATAGGAGAATAGAAAACTCCATGTATTTTTAAAAATTATTTTCAACTTGTTGTACTTGAGCACTTCTACTAGAACACGAACTAAATAATTCTACATCAAGAGAAGAGAAACTTCAATCATACTTACGTCAGTATATTTACTAGATACTTAGATAGTAATGAACAATAGCAGTGAATGAAAGTAAATTAGATTTTGACCTATCGTACCTGACAGAGTAAGTCATTAGCTGTTTCTTGCCCTGGAAACCCTTCAAATGTCCATGGACTTTAACATACATCCCATTTCTATGACAGGGTATTTTAACAATGAAATGAAAATTCGAAACAAAGAAAAATATAATGTCAGTGCTATAAGGAGGAAATATTACGAGATAGCCGCCATTTCTGTTTTGTCAAAAGGTTCATTCAGCCTACAAAGTCAACACATTCCTACTTTTAGAACAAATATATAGTAAAAAGAGCTAAATTGTAAAGAAAGAACCAATCAATGTAAATGTCTCCATCCAAATTTATACACACTAAAAATGGTTCCAATGCATAATTTTCTTTAATTGTTAACTTTTACCATCTGTAGCAGTCAATGCGTCCAGTTCCATCATCCAGTACAAACGAAATATCAGTGGCGCGGTCAGCTATGTTGAACACAATTCCCACTAGTTTCACCTTTAACATGATCCAAAGTTGAAGTCCATTTATAAAAAGGACAAGATAATAGAAAAAACAAGATATATATTTATCAGCTATCAGTACACAGAACCTACATTATTGACATCAACACCATCAACTAGAAAATTTATCTTATCATCACTTGTTTGCACGGCATCGATTATTTGCTTCACTGTCAATGGAAGCAGAGACTGTGTATCTCGATTCTGGACAAGAAATAAAAAGAAAAGAGAATAGATAAAATTAATTACGACCTGATAATTTATTCATTTTTGAACAAATGAAGGTAATCAGGAGCATGGCATGAGTGCTGAACAAGAAGAAGCATCATTGCTTTGTGCTATGAATACGAAATTCAGTTCTTAAAATGAATAAATGTAATTAATAATATTTATTTTATAAGTGATGAGTGAGTCATGTGTGAAGGGGTGAAGGAACAAACATTGACAGTCATATTTTAAAAAATATATACAAATGTGTTACGTTTTACTCCTCTTCGTCAGATTTTACCTTAGTTTTTGCAATAATATATTCTTATTTTTGTGTAAAGTGAGCATGGGATAAAGACATAGATGCCGAAACAGAACCCTATTTACCGCCACTCTAAAATCAACAAGCATGATAAATAATTTCCATTAAATTATTCAAATATCTCTATTCGATTTCTTCAGTTCATAGGCCATAGTGCACTGAAATGACGGGATTAGGAGGTGCAGAGAGCGAAACAACTGATAACAAAATATATCTTTTATATTTCTCATTTGAATAATCAAAACGGTCCAGCAGAAACAGACCTTGGATGTAGAATAAGAAGGATCAGTAGCAGTTTGAGTCGCCTGAGATGGCATGAAGCCACCTCCAGCGAAGGCTGCGTTGCCGTCGAACGGCACGTTCCCACCGTACATCTCAGTCCTTTGTATATCAGTTGTCTCTCTAGGTCCACGACGGTGTTCCCGCCCTTTTGTACCCCCTTATACTGATTTTAGGTGTGGGCAAAAATATGGAAAGTGCCCATCGAACTGAACCTGTACCGTACCGAATAGGACCTCAAATTTTATGTCCCGAACCGGACCGTATCGATTCTAAACAATGTCATGACTGGTTTATAATTTTCTTTTTGCTTTCCTAACTACCCCTGACCCCCCCTCACCCCCAAAACACCCAGCCCAACCCGGGGAAACAAAAAAAAAACTAAAAAAACCAAAAAAAAAAGAACATTTTGGCCGGAACCGGGCCCGGCCTAAGTCCACCACTAGGTGATGGTAGTAGACACTAGTAGTGGTCGTTTGTGGTAGTGGTCGGTCGGTGGTAACTGGTAAGGGTGGAAATAGACCTAGTTCGACTATGCTTTAAGTGGGACGGATATATATGATTTGGTTTGATCTGAAGATCGTTACAAAAAGAATATCATGTCTAAACACACTATAGTGATTATCATGAATCATTCATGATCATTAAACAATAAGATACGTAGTAATATACATTTTTGACTGTATGGTGACATGGTGTTTAGGAGTTAGGACACCCGACACCTTAAATCATAATTTGCTTTAATAATTCCTAACAGGCTAATAAGTTATTGACACATCATGTCATTCATGTTTACAAATTACATATATGCTACTAGTACTTCAGTCTTATAGGCATCATATACACATGTCAGCTTGTTAGGCTAGAGTGCTAGACGTGGTCTCTAGTCCCTGACAAGCCGTTTGGCATATTTCCACCTCTGATCAGTATTTATCGGCAATACTAACATTTAGCAATATATAGTAGTAGTACAGGTATGAAAGACCCGAGTTGGAACACAAGGGATTAAAAGGAATGATGAAAGCCAAAGGGTAAAATTAAAAGGAAATAAATTTTCGCAAATGGATGGAGTGTATTTTAGACCCTCCTATAGTACGCGTCAAAGGCATTTACAGTGGTCCGTAGTAGTACACTTCCAAAGGCCATCCAAACGTCCATCATCATCAGCACACACAGGGATGATGTATTCAAATTTGAACAGAACAAAGAAACAAGGCAAAGAAAAGCATAAATATACAAGGCACCAAATCAAAATAATTTGTTGTATTGACTGGTGAGAGAATCTCTCAGATTGGAATACACGCTATAGAGTGAGTACTGGCGAAGGTTCTTCACTTCGTACCATGAGTTGAAAACTGAATTGTGCTCATCAGTCCCAGAAAATGCAACTTGTATCCCAAGGCTACAGTCCACATTGCCACCTCTGTTTTTGCATGCATTGACCTTCATAGCACAATCTTGACCATTGAGGCATGCAAAGTTTGATGAGGCATGTGTGCATGATGCACAACCGTCCCTCTTCCAGTAAAGGTTTTGCAGCCTGCCCTTTTTGAATTCAAGAACCTGGCTCTCACAAAATGTCATTGCTTTAGCTGTTAAACAGACATTATGGCTTCGTTGGGTAGTCATAATCGGCTTATTCTATTTATTCTACTTAACAGCAAAACAAGTAACTTTGGCTAAAATGGATGTTAACAATCACTTATCTCTTTCATAATATTTTTCAGGAAATTTCAGCCAATAACCCTTACCAAAAAGGCCATAGCTACTTTGAAGATGCATTATGTACTCCTTACCAATGTAAAGCTTGTCACAATGTAGGTACCATTTGCAACAAAAGCAGGGATAGACCTAGCAGCGTATTTCCGACCAGCAAATGCCACCATATACCCACCATAGGTATCCTGTTGTTCATTTAATTAATACAGACATTACTTAAGTATCATGACAAACGAATTTAATAACAAAAAACAAGCAAAGATCACAGAAAAAACCGTAGATGCAGGGTGGAAGGTGTTGAGCAATAGAAGTTTGGATTGCAATTATTCTACTACGGATTTTTTTCACATTTACAACAGTGTGCACAGAGATAACCAATGTAAAAAGCTAGTTGGGTTGTACGTTGATAACTGGGCAAGAAGTGCGCTACATTGAGATATTCAACACTGCCCATCAAGCTAGAGGAATATATGCTCAAAGGGATGTCTTGCAAGCCTCATCTATATAAGGGTTTTTAACCTACAGATATGGATATGAAAGAGTGTGATGATTGATGAAGTTAGAGGACGTCAAGCAAATTTTCAACTCCTTCCTTTTATGTTATATTAATGTTTCACTTAACAGTGTGTCATGTTCCCAGATCATTACATGATTGACCTAAGTTTAACAAATTCAACTTCAGTGAAACTTGAACTTGAGTCGAAACTTCACTTTAGACTTTAATTAATGACTTAGCAAAAAATTTTAAGAGTAAAAGTCAATATAGCTAACACAGTCTTTTCTTATTAGCTGTCCACTAATTCAATCAGCTACTGGTTCAATGACATGCACTAACTGGATGACAATTCATACGTGTGGATGACAAATCTGTACTGCCATACATATGTTCTTTACATGAAAAGAAATTGACGGGTCCTATTAATTACTCCCTCCGTCCCATAAAATTCTTCCAACTTTCCTTTTTGGGCATCCCAAAAAATTCTTCCAACTTACCATTTTTGGACAATTTGTGTGGCTCACATTCATTTCACCTTTTTCTTACACAACAACTATCATACATTTCCACTTTATTCCACTTCCTTAATATGCATGCCAAGTCAAAGTTGGAAGTTTTTATTGGGACGGAGGGAGTACTAATGAGGGGGAGGAACTATATTAAGATGACTTGCATGACCCTGAGGAATTGAATACAAGTAGCCACATTCTCATTCCCTTGGAGTTACAAACAGTAAAACTGATTTGGCTTGAAATTTTGAAACAGATCAACATGCAAATGACAAGATGCAGAGTGATTTGGGAGCAAAATGACATAGCTAGATGGCAGTTAGAAAGGAAGTGTTAAAGGCACCTTACAGTTGATTTAGTATGTGCAGCTGATCTGATAAAGTAAGGATGAACTAGAGCTTGGCCTTTAGCCTTTTGGATTTTAGTTATAGTTTCCAATTCCATTGAGAAGCTTATTATATATTGCTCATTAGATGCTGACTGCATATTTTGAGGTTTCCCAGACTAAGGTAGAATTAAAATTATTTATTTTTTGCTCTCCAATTTACTCCACCCAAAACTACCTTCTTTTTGTTTATTCTTTGTGAATTGTTCAAAGAGCTTGGGCAGTTAAATTAGAATTTAGAAACCTAAACCTAAAGAAAACCTAATTCCTCTCTTCCCTTCTCAACATGGAAGTGATGGAACTATTGGCCTAAAATGGAACTTTTCAGAGATTGATTTCTTAGTAGTAGCCCCAAATATAAGTACGGCTAGCCCCATGGAATATTAATTAACGGATCTAACTCCACACCCAAATACCATCTACTCCTGAAAGTAACTACAACAACAATTTATCAAATATCATATCTATATAGACGAACATGCACATATGAACAAGTCTTAAATTTCTTTACCGGAAAGAAGTTCGAGGTGTTGATTGTGAGGAGCGAGATCTCGTCAACTTTGGGTCGGAAAACAGCGATCTGGGCGTTTCCGGCGAGAGAAAGGCGAGTATCGCAGGGGGAGAGCTGAACGGCGTTTCTGTTGTTGATGGCGAAGGTGGCGTTTCTGGGGGCAAATGCAACTCCGAAGGTGAACCCGTCGGACCTCTGTACCTTTGCATCAGAACAAGGCGAGTATACGTGATTAGTGTCGCTGATCGACTGGGATGAGAGAAAGAGAGTTGATACGAGCAGTAGAATGTGCATCGCGTATGGCATCGCCATGCTCGTTAGTTCGAGGTCGAAGGGCGATGAAACGACTGAAATGACCAGATACCCCACTTTTTTGTAACATTGGATTTTGCATTTCATTTTCAAAAAACTTTGACTTTTCACCCCAACACATACCATTTTGTGAAGAAAAATTTCTAAATGGGATGCAAAGTTAAATAAATTTTAAGTGGAATGGGGTCCAGAATCAAAGTTTTTTTCAAAATGGAATGCAAAGTCCAATATCACCCAAAAAGTAGGGTGCAAAATCAAATTCCCCCTTTGCTTATCTATGACTTCCTCCCTGCACCAACTCTAGTACGGGATGATTCCATTAAAGCTAGGGCCGTTAAAAAATCGAACTTTTATGGAACTATTCGAGTTCGAGCATGGTTTTGACCATAACGAATCGAGCTTAACGAGCTTTCGAACTCGAACCGAGTTCGAAAAATTAATCGAGCCGAGCTCGAACATAGTAATTTATATAAATTACTATCGAACACCCTTAAAATATAAATATAATTTTTATATATGTCATAATTTAAATATAAATTGTATGATGTTATGAATTTTAATATGACTATTAACGAAGCGAACACTTGTCGAATAATTCAAGCACGAGCCTTTTAACGAGCATCACCTAAAATTTTAAATTAAACATATTTATCGAGCTTATCGAGCACTCGATTTGAACATCGAACGCCTATCGAGCCAAACACAAGCCTCATTTGTAAAGCTCGCTGACCTTTGAGCTCGACCCCGAACACCCCTATTAAAGAATCGAACCTAGCTCGAGCTCTGGGTGTTCGGGCTCGGCTCGGTTCGTTAACAGCCCTAATTACAACTGGAATGAGCCATTCTTGGTGTACACAGAAAGTGTATACGAGTTGTTTGTGTACATAGACAACTAGAGCATTTTTTACATCAAATCTTGTTAATTTTCAAACGTATTCCCTGTGTACACAAACAACTAAATGTGTTTTGTGTACACTTTGTGTACAACTCATTTATACTAAGATTTTTTCGGGTCGGATCACAGCTCCATCCAATTCGATGTTCCTTTTTTTTTAAGTTTGAATCCTCAACCCCAAGGTCCATATGTTCCGACCCGACAAGACATTAGGAGGTTGTAAGTCACGGTGATTCAGTTGGTCCAAAGGTGATAGACCTTGTACCCACGCGCACCATAATTCTAGGCCAGCACGCAGGAGCTGTAACCTCCAACAACAGCTGCGACTTTCGATCCTTGGTCAATGTTCCAACTTTCCCACCACTCAACTAACTGAGCTAACCTCGTGGGTACAACTCCGTCCAATTCGAAAATATAGATGAAAACCCAAAAATATAGATACAAAAATTCTACTCGAAACTGAACTGCCATTACATCATTTTATTGTAAATATTACTCCATAGAAAAGAAGTTTTTCCTATAGGTGTTTGCAATCAGGGTCCTTAGAGGCGTTTGCAATCAGGGGCGAAGTCAAAGAGGGTTAGGTGACTGCCCAAAAGATTGAGAGTATAGAGTTCAGAAATGTCTTTGATTTGATATATTATCGCCTCCGTAACTCATTACGCGTAAAAAATTATGACTTCTGGAAAATCGGCACTATCTAAACGTAAAATCAGCAAATTTTGATGCATGCTATTGGTTACTTTCCCAAATTTTAAAAACATCGTATAATTACTCATTGTATGTGACATAACTCATAGACAAAACAAAGACAATCTATCTTATTGGTACGAGTTCCTATATATCTAAACTACATATGAAACATTTAACTCAGATATTGTCTAAACATGATTCATCATTTTCATTCTGTATATAGCTGGGATAGATCTCTCCATCATTTTGCAATGGAGCCAATGACTCACTATTTTTTGGCTTGAGAATATGATTCAATAAAGCAAAATGGCTTACTAAACTGTATGCGCTTCTTTGTTATGAAGCAGCAGTCGGTCCATGCAATTTTCACTATGGGTCATCCAGGAACAGTCTCTCTGTGCTTTAGCACAGTGGTAAGACTGCGTACATCCGACTACCCCTAACCCCACTGAAGGTGTGGGAGCCTTTGCGGCACTGGGGTAATGATGATGATGATATAGCTGGGATCGATCCCCCGAGTCATTTTTTGGCTCCGCCATTGTTTGCAGTCGCTTCTAATTAAAAAAAAAGATTTTAAGTGAATATACATGTACTACTAATAGTAAAAATTGGTATTTTTGATAAAAAAAGGGTTTTAAAAATGTAAAAGTTGATGACGTTTGATAGAAATTAAATGTCCGGAAATGATCAGGTCCAACCCTTCTTTGTCTAGCCACCATCCAGACTCCACCGTTTGGGGCGGTTCACGGTGAAATTTTTGATGATTTTTTTTGAGCACGTTTCTCATCAAGTCTAGTTTGTCCATACCAAATTTCAGCTCAAAATTCGATCGGGAAGGCATTCAAATCATTTTTTGAAGTTGATTGCGTTTTTATATGTATATTTTGGCGCAGTCAACTTAAACAAATGATTTGAATGCCTTCCTGAACGAATTTTGAGCTAAATTTTGGTATGGACAAACTAGACTTGATGAGGAAAATGCTCAAAAGATTTAATCAAAAAATTCCATCAGGAAGGCCCTCTGATAGCCAAGTTCGGACGGGGCTTCCCGTCAGAACTACCTGAGGTGATCATTCCTCATTAAATGTCTTTTTAGTAACATACAAAGTGATAAACAATTTATAACGTCCCCGCACCTAACCATCTAATTCCACCTTTTAGCTTTAAAATGCTTACTTCCTCCGTATTTTAAAGTTTGCTAGATTTTTCTTTTTTGAATGTATTTAAAAGTTTGCTACACTTTCCATTTTTGATAAATTTTTTCCTTTAAAAATACTCAATTATCCTTACTTTTCCTACTTTTTATCTCCTCTTTCATGCTTTTACACTTTCTCTCCTACTTTCTCTACATTATTCATTATCCCTATTATTTCACCCTTAAATGTTGTCCAACCCTATTGAAGATATCTTTGAAATAGGGAGGGAGTAATTTAAACGGACGTTGTCATTCGAAAATACGATAGTATTCAATTTCAACTTTTTAAACTAAAAAATTGTCATAAAAAAGAGTTGAAAAACTATTTTTCCTTTCAAACCGTCCCTAATCCAACCTTCCAAAATTCACCGGTGCCCGTCCGACACTCCTTCCTCACTGCAACTAACTCGGGCCAAGGATGCTAGCGTGCATAGTGGTGTGCTCTGTACAAAGGTCGGGTATCCCAGTCTCACATGTCTAAGAGCATAATTTCTCGTATAAAACCTCTGTGCAACCGGAAACCCAAACGCAGTTCACCATCGAACCTCCAAGTCACACCCAGTGAAAGAAAAGTCGCCTATGAGGTTTGCAGCATTCTGAGAACTCAAAGTCACTGGGAACGGAATGTTGAGGTCCTCCTTTCGGAAGCCCAAGCGGTTCCATCTGAAATAGCCCACCTTGTGTTCGACAAAATTCGGGATGCTCAATTGGGCTTGAAGTTCTTTGACTGGATCTCTCGGAGACCCTATGGCTGTCCCCTTGATGGGTTTGCGTACTCGTCTCTCTTAAAGCTACTTGCGAAGTTCAGACTCTTCCAGGAAATTGAAGCTCTGCTGCGTGAGTGTACAAAATGCGAGGAGACGTTGCCTACAAGAGAGGCATTTGATGAATTGATCCGAGCTTATTCAATTTCAGGTGTGGTTGAGAAAGCTCTTGAACTCTACTCATTCGTTTTGAAAACCTTCAGTTTGCTACCTCACGTAGTCACTTGTAATCATTTGCTTCATGGTCTTGTTAGTAATGGACGGGTTGAAGCTGCTATGGTGGTATACAATGAGATGGTAAAGAGGGATGCTGGAATTGAAAATAGATGTTTGGATAATTATAGCACTTGTATAGTTGTGAATGGATTGTGTAAAGATGGCATGGTTGATGAAGGCTGGAAGCTTATCAGTGACAGGTGGGGAAAGGGGTGTGTGCCAAGTATTGTGTTTTACAATGTACTTATTGATGGGTATTGCAAAAAGGGTGATATAAAAAGTGCTTATAATATTTTCCAAAAATTGAACTCCATGGGTTTTTTGCCAACCGTAGAGACATATGGAGCTCTGATAAATGGATTCAGCAACAATGGAAATTTTGAGATAGTTGACGAGCTTATGAGGGATATGGCGGCTAGGGGACTCTCAGCCAATGCCCATGTATATAACATCATTATAGATGCTAAATATCGGCATGGTGGTGACCTGAAACCACTGGATGCCATTAGAAAAATGATTGAAGAGGGATGTGATCCCGATCTGGTGACATATAATACTTTGATCTCTGGTTCATGCAAAGCTGGGGAAATTGAGGAGGCTGAAGAACTTCTAGAGAATGCAAGAAATAGGGGATTGGTGCCTAACAAACGTACATATACTCCTTTGATCCATCTGTACTGTACACAGGGAGATATTGACAGGGCTTCATGTTTTCTTGTTAAGATGACTGAGTATGGTGATCCACCTGATCTGCCAACATATGGAGCTCTAATCCATGGTTTTGTACGCTCTGGGCATGTTGATGTTGCCTTAACTATTCGTGACAGGATGACCAAGAAGGGATTGTTACCTGATTCTTGTATATATAATGTCTTGATGAATGGGCTTTTCAAAAAAGGGAAGCTTTCTGAAGCCAAGCAGCTTTTTTCTGAGATGCTTTCTCACAGTATCGTACCTGACATGTATATTTATGCCACTCTAGTGGATGGGATCATAAGAATTGGAGAGATAAATGAAGCAAAGAAGCTCTTTCAGCACACGATTGAAAACGGTGTGGATATTGGTGTTGTGGGGCATAATGCAATGATCAAGGGCTACTGTAAGTTTGGGATGATGAGTGAGGCGGTGTCATCTATGAGCAGGATGAAGAAGTTGAAGATTTTTCCTGACGGGTATACTTATTCCACTATGATAGATGGATTTGTAAAGAAACAAAACATGAGTGGTGCACTGACAATATTCTGTGAAATGGTGAAACAGAAGTGTTTAGCAAGCGTGGTTGCTTATACCTCTCTCATTAATGGATATTGCCAAATTGGCAGTTCTCAAAGAGCACTATATTTTTTCCATTATATGCAGTCAAATGGTTTAGTTCCTAACGTTGTTACCTATACTACATTGATTGGGGGATTTTGTAAGGAAGGACAACTTGCAAAAGCTGCAATTTTTTTTGAACAGATGCTTATTGCCAAGTGCTGCCCAAATAATTATACCTGTAATTATTTGGTGAATGGATTTTCAAATAGTGCACATTCTGTAGTTCTGAAGGAAGGAAATAATCCTAAAAGCTGCAAGACATCCATGTTCTTGGATGCTTTTCGAAAGATGATTTCAGATGGATGGCTTCCAAATATTGCTGCATATAACTCAATTATTGTTTGCCTGAGTTTAAACGGGATGTTAAAAACTGCACTGGAGCTGCAGAATAATATGGCCAGTAAGGGCTTGTGTGTTGATTCTGTTTCCTTTGCAGCATTGTTGCATGGGATTTGCTTGGACGGAAAATCAAAGGAATGGAAGAAGATCGTTTCCTGCAACTTAAAGGAATCTGAGCTCTGTACTGCTTTGATTTACTCCAAAATATTTGATCAGTACCTTGCTCGTGGCCTGAACTTTGAGGCTTCAGAAATTTTGCACAACATGGTCAGTGATTGTAAGTCACATAATCTTCACATGGATAACATTGAAGTGTCAGCAAATAGGTGATGGTTTCTCTTTAATTTACGGGTTAAATGTGTAAAACCAAGTCCAGAGACACCATCAGACCTATATGACAAGGCAATTGTGTGTGCTTTGTTGGACCTTTTCTTTTGAAGAGCTGAAGCACTAAGAGCTGATAAAATTGCACGTTGTTATGTTTGCTCAAAACCAGGCAACCAGCCAGGCAGCCAAGACTTTTGCTATCTCCTTTTCAAGTGCTTATCTCCTCTTCAAGCACAGAAGATAATGGAGATCCTGAATCCCAACAGTATGAATAAAAAAGACTCCTGAGACCTACCCTATCTCCAGATCAGAAGGGTTTTCTCTGAACATTGTAATTGAAGAACACAGCAGAGTTTAAAATATCCAAGCACAGATCATAAATTGTCTCAAGACATAATTCCAACATTCAGCTTCTAAGTGATCTGGAATATAAATATCTTGTCCTTTTCAGATGCTGTTATGGAGAAAAAGAGACCATTCCTTTATGAGCTTTGACAAGCAAATGGTTTGTGAGTTCAAGACTATTATCAAGTGAGTCATTGTTTAAGGAAATGATGGTGCGGTATGATCTCTCACACATGAAATTGAAAACAAAACATGGATGGTGAATTAGAGGCCGCCATTGAAAGGGGATAATTGTTTTTCACTCGAGATTTTGGTGCATCTTAGCCGTTGATCACTGATTATGTGTGTAGGCGTGGAGCAGTGGTTGGCAAAGCTCTTTCAATGATATGTATAAGACACTTATTGCAGGCTGAATAGTGTCATGTTGAATGCCTATCAGCCTATGTATACTACAACTGAAATGGTTACTATAACATGTTGAATGCCAATGAATCCGAGTTTTAGAACAATGATTTTAGTTGAGTTTTATTTATTCTAAAAAAAATGATATGTAGTACACAAATAAAAGCATGTTGGAATAAATGATATGTAACTCCAACCTAACATTTTCTTATTATTACACAATTCAACGCGCGAAATAAAAAAATTACGTGTTTGGTTAAAAAGTTGGTTGATAAGCATGATAAGCTGAAAAATAGAGTCACTAAACAAGCTCTATATGATGGAAGGTCATGTGTGAATGTAAAATAATCAATATTAACTCATAATCGAATATCTTGCAAGCTTTTCGGGTCAAATATTTAAACTTGAGCTTGGTTTGGATTGGTTCGAGTCGAGTTCGAGTGCAAGTCGAGTTTGAATCGAGTCGATCTATGTTCAAGTAAGAATCGAGTTCTCGAGTATTTTGGGAGTAGATTTGCTTGATTAGTATTACCCTTGTTTCACTTTACGTATCCTATTTTGATTTGACATAATTATTAATAAAGTGATTAAAAAGCAAAAGCTGTGATTATGAATTGAGCATAATAAAGTGAAAGTTTGTAGTCACATTTTTTTTCAAATAAAAAAATAAAGGATTGTTCTAAATAAGACCAAAACATAGATAAAAAGCCAAAGTAAGACTAACCATGTTTTTCCCATAATAGGAATCACCCGCTCCTATTTTGAGTTGTCGTTGCTTCTATAATGTCGATAAAGCTCCCCCCCCTCATCCTCCTCCTCCTCAGCAATTCCCATGTTATTGTCTGCTCTCTCCTCACTTCTTTTGTGTTTCTTTTTATTTTTAATATCCGAAGTCTCACGCTCCTCTCCCCCCTTTTCTTATTTAATTGGTAACATCTCTGCCACTCCTTCATCTTCTCTCTTCCTCTTCGATCCGATCGGAACATTCATCTTTCAAATTGTAATAATGGGGTACCAACACTAATTTCAAAATTCCATGTGTTCTTCATAGTGCTTTTCCTAGTTTTTCTGTTTTAAAAAAAATGTCATTTTGGTTCTCAAAATGACATGAAATGTCATGAAGATGGCGTTTACAGACGTAAAAACTTGGTAGTCGCTCCTCCTCATTCACCTTTTTAAAAATGACATGAAATGTCACGAAGATGACATTTACAGGCGTAAAATACCCGACAATCGCTCCTCCTCCACCTTTGCAAAAATGACATGAAATGTCATGAAGATAACAATTATAGATGCAAAAAACCTTGCGCTCCTCCACCTTTTTAAAAAAGTCATCATGTTTGTTCTAAAAATATCATCAATGTGTCATTATTACAATATTACTCTTTGAAACTATCAATTTTACTCTGAAAATGTAATTAACTTCGAGTTAGTGTTCAATAAAACAACTATAATGACATTTTCAAATTCAAATCATGAGAAAATAATAAGAATGGTTTAAAATAAAATATTCAAAATTAATAACAAAATGGAAATTCAAAAGAAGAAGAAAAGGGATGAAAGGTGGAACAAGAGAACAACAGGGGAGGGGAGGGGGGAGGGGAGGGGGAGCTCACCTGGGCATGTAGCAGAGTCGCCACCCATCGTCGCCGACACTCATTCCACCCAACTAACATTGCAGAGTTATCAGCTTGCGAACTCATGTCGAGAGGCTTTGCAGAGCATTTTTGGCATTCCAATCTAGTTTTGGTCCTACAATATCACATAGAAAAGTAGCAGTCCTATTGTGGCGCTTCTCCAATGTTTTGGTCCCATTTGGGAATTTACTCATAAAAAGTGTGACACTTATTTTATGACAATTTAAAAAGAAAAGTAAGACACTTAAAATGAAACGGATGTAGTATTATGTAGTATGTACTACTCCCTTCGTATTTAAAAATCACTACATTAGGTGTAAAAAAAGTAGGCAAGAAAGTGAAAAAGTAGGGAAAAGAAAATAAAAAGTAGAGAAACTAAGGGTAATTGAGTACTTTTAAGAGAACAATTTAGGGAGAACTATCAAATAAGTCCTCAAACTTACATAAAAAGTGCAAATCACCCCTTATATAAGAGGCTCTGTTTGTTCATCGCCATTTGGGGAAGTTCCCGGTGGAAATTTTTGATGAAATTTTTTGAGCATCTTATTCATTAAGTCTAGTTTACTCATACCAAATTTCAACTAAAAAATCAATCGGGAATTCAGTCAAATGAATTTTTGAAGATAACTGCGCAGTTAAACAATGCAGTATATTTCAGAAAATCATTTGACTGCCTTCCCAATTGAATATTTAGCTGAAATTTGGTATGAGTAAACTAGATTTAATGAATAATATGTTCAAAAAATTCTATCAAAAAATTCCACCGTGAACCTCTCCAAATGACAACGGCTGAACAGAACCTCTTGTATAAGGGGTGATTTGTACTTTTTATGTAAGTTCGAGGGCCTATTTGGTAGGTCTCCCGAGAAATACATCCCAAATAAAAAAATGTAGCAAAATTTTAAATACAGTATATAGTTACGACTTTTAAACATGTGGTGGGCCAGCCCAGCCCAAAAAAAAAAGCAATTTCGTACAAACCAAGTATTGTCGCCACGTTGCCACCGAAGACAAACGTCCCCCTAAACTCTTCCACCGACTCCTCTTCCTTTACGACCTTCATCGTCTCTACTCTTTCTCTCTCAGTTGATCATCAATGGCGGAAGCGAAATTCGTCCTTGCCCTTTTAGTATTTCTGTGTTCAATATTTTCCATGAGCCTAGCCGACTCTAATGATTTTCAGTACTGCAGTACGTTCCTCTTGACTCTTTGACCATCTCTTACCTCATTTTTTTTTTTGTTATTTCTATTATCGTGACCTCAGGTTTTATTTGGAAGAGACCAATTGGCTCGTTCTTATGTTTTAAATATCTTTTACCATTCAAACTGATTCCCAGATCCCGAGATTCATGCGTGGAAGTCATAGTTTGCTCGGGATTTTATCTGTTTGACAAAACTTCTGACTGGGCACCCTTTATTTGATAAAAATGAAATCTTTCTGGGCGTATTGCTAGCCTACGTAGAGTAGTCTTTTGATATTTTCTTTAGATGGAGTTTGTTGCATATTGTTCTTTTAGGGCTATGTGGACTTTTGGTTGACTTGTAGTCTCTCTCTTATTATGTTTTTTTTTTCCTTTTTAATTTTTGGTTTTATTATTTATTTTTTGGTGGTGAATTCTCTAAATCCATATGTGCAGGCAAGAAGAACTATGATGTTAAGGTCAGCGGAGTTGATATAACACCTAGTCCTGTGCAAAGAGGCATCAACACCACTTTTAGCATATCAGCTTATTCAGGTGATCGTTCTATTGTGTCCAATTTTATAATAATTGGTTTTATGCACTAAATTTATTAAAACGTTTCTTCTTAAATTGTCTTTTTAACAGAAGAATGTTCATCTTACAAACAGGTGTTTAAGTTTTGTTTTAAGTTATCTTTGTTAATGTGTTGGAGGATTTTGTTAGAGGATAAGTATTCCATATTGTGCTATCATACGATATCACATTTATCTCTGTAGGCTCCATTGTATAATAATACATATGTTGGACATTTTTGATCTTCTTTTTCTTTGTGACACATTTACTGACTAAAAGGTCTGTTTCTTTTTACTGATTTTTCTGGTCTGGTTTAGTATATTTTTATATCTAAATGCGTTGCAAGACAGGAGGAGAATGATGAGAAAAATCAGACGAATTCCAAGAATGGAAAAAAATATTGTTTGATGGATTTCTTACCCGGTCCAATATAGTAATGAGTCAAGTTAAAGAGAACATGTTTTAACTTTTTAATGAGAACAGAGAGAGTAGAGAACTCCGAAGTCCAACTAGTAGTTTTAAGTAAGTAAAGGTAAAAGATATGGTATGCAACAAAGCCTCTTATTAACTATGTTGCCAAAGGATTGACTTAACATTCTCATTCAGATAAAGACATTTCTGGGGGGAAGATGCAGATTGATGTCAAATACTGGATATTTAATGTCTACAGTGAGACACATGACCTATGTGAAGAGACACCTTGCCCTATTTCTGCCGGTGATTTTGTCATAGCACACACCCAAGCGTTGCCTGGGATAACCCCTCCTGTAAGATTTCTCTTCTTTCCAGTTCATCTCTACTTCCCTCACTGCCTATGATTTTTTATGCCTATTGATTTTTATGCACATTTCCTCTTGATTAGTGGACTTAACTTATTGTGTCTAGATAGTTCTTCGTATTAGTGGCATTTACGAGTAATTTTAAAGTCTGTAACGGAATCAAAGAACATATTTCATATTTGGCATCATCATCACTATTCATTACCAAAGTAGTGTGCCTACTGACTATATATATTAATAAATGGTGATGATGACACCATCTGGATTTTATAATCATGGAGCATTGAGCCATTCATATGCTTATGTTTGGAAGTGAGATGGTGAACCATGGTACATCCAGGAATTGAGCCATGATTATGCAGGGGGGCTCTTTTCCAAGTTTTACGGTGGCGAAATTCTTTTTCCAAAATTTGCGGTGGGGAAGTTCTTTTTCCATGTTTTTAAGTGGAGAAATTATTTTTCCGAGTCTTGCAGTGGCAAAATTAAAATTTTTCTTAAAATTATGCATAAATGCTTTACACTTCGTACAAATTTCCAATAAATTATGCAAAAATGAGTGCAGGTGAGGCCCGTGAGGGGTTATGCGGATTATATGCTACACATTGTAATATATTCACCTTAAAAAACACCCAATGTGTGTGTGTTGGACCGGAACTAAAAATTGCAGACCTATACCCTTGACTCGGCTAATCTACCATTTGTGCTCCTAGACCTGGATCCATTCGGATCCAATACGGCTCTCGGCCAACTCCGGGTCAAAGTATCGAAAACTTACATTACGTTTTACATCTAAATTCATATTCCATTTAGATACATATGAGACAGTTTTCTTTTGAAAGTTTTAGGCATTCATCTTTACAATCAAAATATTAATAAGACATTTATTTCAAAATCCATTACTGCGTGATAGTAACAATGCAATTTTATAAAAAAGTTAAAGACATTACGTTAAAGTACTTTTTGGGGAATTAGGGAGTTATTCTTATCTGGACACAGTTATTCTGTTCATTGTAATGTTTGGATAATTCAGGGTTCCTACACGCTGACCATGAAGATGATGGATGGGAAGAAGCATGAGTTGGCATGTATCAGCTTCGACTTCAGCATCGGTTTTTTTGCAGCAGCAGAACCCAAGGTGGCAGTTGCTGATAGTTAAGTGCCGTAGTCTGTCCACTTTTTATTCGGAGTGTCTTCCTGTCTTCTATGTAAAATATATGTTGATGTAGCGTGATGCCTGACTTCGTACAATTTTAATGAAGACTATAACTTCGCACGTGGTTACTCCTTTTTCAAGTTCTTGGTCCAGCACCCTTGTGAATGATTGTTAATGTTATCAATGATGGACTCATTGCCTGGAATAATGTGTTTCAAGTTCCAAGTTAATTTGTTTCAAGTTCTTGGTCCAGCACCCTTGTTAATTCGTTCATGCTAGTTCTCTAAGGATTTAGCTTCCCCCATTCATCTTGATAGTTCAAAATTCAAATGAACAAAAAGGGATATGGACCATATGGTATGTCCTATACAGGACTCTTGTTATGAGCAATATTGTCCTATACAGGACTCTTGTTATGAGCATAGAGCATGTATACGGATTATGAGTGGCGGTTGTTTTTTTTTTTTTTCGAAAGAGGAGTTTTTCATGGGCTGCTTTGAGAGTATAAACAGGCGTCACGATTTTTTTTTTTTTTAATCGTCACAGGCGACACGAAGTTGATCCAATATTTATGAGTTATCACCTATTGGCTATTCCGTATAAGTTATTTCTTTTTAATTGGTTATTTGTCATTATTTATTTCAGTTCTTTTTTTCTATTTTATTTATTTTTACCTATGGTGTCACTGAGTTAGAAGTACTAAGATGTGTGGTTCCTCAAAAAAGTACTAAAATGTGTGGCAAAAATGATCTTTATTTTTAAATATTGGTCGCTCGGCGACTGAAGTTATTTTTTTCTGATTGTTGGGTGTGATTATGATATTTGAGTTATTTGAGTCATTTCTGCGAGTAATTTTTTTATGCTTTTTATCATTTTATGTTGACAATTATACGAAGCACTAATTTTCTAACCCGTCACACAATTTTGGTAGGTTTTTATTTGAATTGTTTTGAATACTACGGAGTAGTTTAGATTAGACTAAACAGATTAGACCAGACTTCCATAGTTTTAAAATAACCAGACATTTACCAGATCAATTCAGATCAAACTGGACTTAAATAGACCAGACTAGATCAACAAATTTCAGTTCAAGTAAAAACATTCTTAGATGAGTATATGGTGTAGTTAGTGGTGGACTCGGGTCGGGCCACCCGGCCCGGTCCGCTACTGTGCGGGCCCGGGACCTGCCCGGTTCACCGGTCCGGATACCGGGCTTTGACCCGGTCCGAGGGGGAGACGGTTCCGGGCACGGTTCCTTCAAAATGAGATCCGGCCCGGACCCGGTTTGGGCCGATTTTTTTTTTTATTTTTTCATTTTTTTTATTCCAACGGGTTGGGCTGGGTGTTTTTTTTTTGGGGGGGGGGGGGGTTTGGGGGTGAGGGGGGGGGGGTCAGGGGTTAATTAGAAAAAGAAAAAAAAATTATAAAGAGACCCGTGGCCCGGCCCGGACCCGGTGGATACCCGGGCCGGTCCCGGGCCCAACCCCAAATCCCAGAAAGCCCGTCGGGCCTAGGCCCGCCCCGGGCCCGCCCCGGCCCGAATCCACCCCTAGGTGTAGCGGTGTACCAATCAATATTTTTTTAATGAATATTACTAAAATAAAACTTATTTATATTTAAACATTATTAATTTTGAGATTGAAAATTGAAAATTTGAAACCATATAATACAACCATCCTTACCTTTTAATTTTGAGATGGAAAAGATCTAGAGTTTTGCATAATTTGATGAATGTCTATTTAAGGAACAAGGGAAATTACTATCAATTTAGGACGTGTGAACTCCAAATATGTATTGTGCATTTAGGGGGACCGGTCTTCGAGACTTCACAACTGAAAAACCTGTCACCTGGTCCTCTGACATGCACATATCGATTAAGAAGAAACTGCAAATTCAAAACCCTAATCCAATCCTTTCAGAGACGAATGAGATTACTTCCTCGCATGAATGATCAATTCTGGCTACCATTATATATTCCAACATCAAGTCATCAACCATCTTCTTCTTCAATTCATTGAGAAAGGGCTGTCTCAGCATTCTTTTCTGATTGCCGATTCTGCAGAAGCTTAACTTCTTCCGCACACATAGGTTACATGATAATCAACTTTTTCGCAAAGATTGTTGCTTTCATCCATAGAAAGCCTTAAATGTTTCATAGCTTTAATTTTTATATTCTGAAGCTCTCTAGGAAGCTAAATGCTTGGGATTACGGTTTGGAATTGTGTTGGTTAGAATTGCATAATGTCAGTGCGGCTGAAATCATTTCAGCACAAACATGAGTGGTGATTAGGGATTTGGGAGACAGAAGAAGGAATAGCAGATAGATGGGAAACAAATGTGTTCATGCAAAAATCACAAAGAATGGGATCTTTCATTCTCTCTTTTGGTGGGTCCCACCGCTCGATATGCTCACACCTGCTAAGAAAAATGAAACAAGCTGTGAAGAAGAGGCAGAAGGTGCAATTGTTCCAGTCCAGAACAACAAACCACCAGAAGTGGTTAGGATGGAAAAGGATGAGAAGGAGGGACATCACACTGAGGAAGGCGATACAGCCAAAAGAGGAAGCAGAAAGGAAAAGCCTTCGAAACCCCGAAAGCCCCACAATGTGAAGAGAGCAGTCAGTGCTGGCCTGCAGGTAGACTCTGTGTTGAAGACCAAAACTGGACATCTGAAGGACTTCTACCAATTAGGGGAGAAACTCGGGCACGGCCAATTCGGGACCACTTTCCTTTGTGTCGAGAAGGCGACTCGGGAAAAATATGCTTGTAAGTCTATATCAAAGAGGAAATTGGTGACAAAAGAAGATGTGGAAGACGTGAGGAGAGAAATTGAGATAATGCACCACTTGGCCGGTCATCCTAACGTCATATCTATTAAAGGCTCATATGAGGACTCAGTGGCAGTTCATTTTGTTATGGAACTATGTGTAGGAGGTGAACTATTTGATAGGATTGTAAAGAGGGGGCATTACTCAGAGCGGCAGGCAGCTGACCTCACTAGGACCATAGTTGGTGTGATACAAGCCTGCCACTCCTTGGGGGTCATGCATAGGGACCTTAAGCCTGAAAACTTCCTCTTTGTTAGTGATGAGGAGGATTCACCTCTCAAAACTATTGATTTTGGATTATCAACTTTTTTCAAACCAGGTATGCATTTATATATATACTCTAATACTCTCTCAGTCTAACAAAAGAGTCATATTTTCTCAAGGTACAACTCTCTATTTTAACAAGTTATACCCATTAAGAGTGACATAATCAAATTAAAAACTAACTCTATTTGATGAAATGGGAGTATATGACTTCTTTAAGACGATAAGAATTATTAAAATACTACTCGTACTTTTTTATGGGACCAGAGGGAGTATATCTTTTGCTACGTTTTCAACTTGTGTCATCTTCTTATAAAATCTGATTTGCTTGTTTAAATCATTCTTTATGATATTTATGTGGTTTTTTCTAAATGCAAGATACTCCGTATATATGAAGTGTTTGCGGTTCCTTAATACCTCTTCTCTGCTTTTCATTTTAAATAAATCTAAGGTTTTCAAAAAAGTACTTCTTCTTACAATTAAACACTTCAAAACTAAAGGTTGTATGCAGGAATAAATTCCACTTTTGGTCCTACGAGCATCACACCGATTCCACAATTGGTCCACGTCTTTGACTTTGACAATTTTTGATACATAACTATTGTGTTTTCACCCATATATGATCCTTCCGGCAATAATTCCGGTGGTTAAAATCGCCGGAGGACAACAAATGATTAAGAAACATTAGTCAAGAGCCAAAAGTGGACAAAGTGAAATACATGGACTAAATGTGAACATGACATAAAACTCTTAGGATAAAAAATGGAATTAATTCTGTATGCAGTGGGAATGTGCTTAAAACTACTTTTCCAAAAAAAAACTTTTTTGCCAAACATTCCATCTTCTACTTTTAAAATTCACTTCTATATTCATATACTACTAACTTTTACAATTTAACATGTTTCTGTGTAACCTCTAATAAATAACTTCTCACAAGCACAATCAAGCACAAATAGTGAGGGACACTTTGCAGGTAATAGCAGATATGCAATCAAAATAAGCAAGGCTAAACAATAATAAGATGAATAAAAATAACATTTCTTCAGCATAAAGTAAAGTAATTTTTTAAAGTGAAAACTAGTTTATTTCTTTCAATGAGGTAAATGCTAGAAATGAGGATAACAAACTCAAAAGAGTGAATTTTTTGTTATGTATGAATAGTCACATAATTCAAAATGAAAAATGAACTCATTTATTTTTAAATAAGCTCCAACTCATCCTAAAGGGCCATCAATTAAATGGGAATTAAATGGGCGAAATCAACTTAGACAAACTACCCATTATTGGTACCAATAAACAAACAATTTAACACTAGAGGTTTGTGTTATACTTTATATGTTAGATATACCTCAGGTAAATATACGATGGGAAGACTTGAACTGTTTAAAAGGATTATACTCCCTTTATCTCATTATGTAAGATACATTTCCTTTTGTCTTTCACAAAAATATGAAAAATTTTCTAATTTGATATCTTCTAACTTTTCCCTTTTTCATTTACCTTTTACTAATGATCTAACATTTAACTTTTTGTGTGTGGATATGTATTACTTTCATCTTTCTTTTTTAATTTTAAAAAAAAAAGGTACAATTACAAAAGAGTCTATTTTGAAATACTTTTAAAATAGGAGAAATCTGAGTATTTCATTGATGCCAATAAATGTTGCTTATCTATGTTATGAAATCAGGGGAAATCTTCGATGATGTTGTTGGAAGTCCTTATTATGTTGCACCAGAAGTTTTGGGGAAACATTATGGTCAAGAGTGTGATATTTGGAGTGCTGGTGTGATAGTTTACATCCTCCTTAGTGGTGTTCCTCCGTTTTGGGGAGGTAAGCTTTTAGTAATATGTAACTTTAAATAGGTTATTATATTGTCTTACCTTCTCATCCTTCTATCATTTTGATGTTCTTTTTCAGAAACTGAGCAAGACATATTTGAGGAAGTCTTGAGGGCTGATGTTGACTTTAAATCAGAACCTTGGCCTAAAATTTCTGATAGTGCTAAAGATTTAATAAGAAGAATGTTGGTTAGGGATCCTAAAAAGCGTCTAACTGCTCATGAAGTTCTTTGTAAGTTACAAATATTTTGAGTAATTTATGTTCGATGAATCCGATTACTCTTCAAATTTCTATATTAATTTTCCATTGGATGAATCTATTGCATATAGTTCCATGGATATAATCAAGTTGTGTTTAATTTGATTTTTAAACACAGAAGAATGTGTTATGCGGCACTTAGCATGATTTATAAGAAATAATTCAACATATGGTTTATATTTAAACCTGGGTCCCAAAATTCTTCCATTGCTTTTGCTCGTACGCTTTTGATCACTTTCATTTAAAAAGGTGATTTTAAGTTTTTTAAATTACATTTGCTATATTAATGCACTTGTTAGTTGTTAAGATCCGAAGTTCCATCTCAAAAGATCAACTTGGTAAAAGTAGTAGTCCAGAATCTTATATAGTGCTTTATTATTTTATGTACTTCTGGAGTGAGACAAATACTTCAACATGTACGTCCCTCAACCCAAATTAGGCAGACAATATCGGGTGTATAAATGAGCTAAACAGACCCTTTAGTGAATTACTCTTAATCATGGGTCCTAAATAACAATCAAACCATAACCGGACTTGACTATGATATCATATTAAGTCTTGAGGGTCACATCCTAAAATGTCAATGTGATAGGAGTAGTAGCCCAAAACCATATATAGTATTTATTATTTTGTATAATTTCGGTTTGAGACAAATACTTCAACACTAAACACAACCCTATAACAAACATGCAAATTCATATATGAGGCATTGAGTTACTCCATCGGTCATATATAAAAACACAAACTCACACATGAGTTTTTGAGCTACCCCTTCTATGTGTATGACTCTTTTTAGGATATAATTCAATCTTATAATGCTAATTGCTAAATCTATTAATAAGATCAAAAGAGTCTGTTAAGTTTTTTTTTGTACATTTTATGCAAGTAAAACCTGCTTGTGTACTCCGCGAATGTGATTTTGAAATGAGGTCTCACCATTCCTTTGAACTCTAAATCTTTTAGCTAAGCTAAGGGGAAGAGATTCATAGGTGATATGACATAAAGAGAATATAAGAAAATATCCTTTAAAATTGAAGATATAATTTTCTTACATGTTTGTTTTGGCAGGCCATCCATGGGTGCAGATTGATGGGGTGGCCCCAGATAAACCTCTCGACTCCGCAGTCTTAACTCGCTTAACACAATTTTCTGCTATGAATAAGCTTAAGAAAATGGCTCTAAGGGTAAGTGTTTTTTCATTGAAAACAAGCAAACGCTTTTTAAGCTTAAAGACTAAGATAGTATTCTAGCACTTCAAAATTCAATTGGTTTTGAATACATGTACACTATTGTGGCTTTACAATGTCACAAAACCAAAGATTTTAAATATATCATTTTCATTTGTTTGAATTATTTCATTTGCAGGTTATTGCAGATAACCTTTCTCAAGAGGAAATTGCAGGTTTAAAGGAAATGTTCAAGGCAATTGACACGGATAATAGTGGACAAATTACATTTGAAGAACTAAAAGATGGACTAAATAGATATGGTGCAAATCTTAACGAGTCTGAGATACATGATCTCATGAAGGCTGTGAGTCATAATATATATTATGTGGTGTATATTTCGTTCTTGTATACCAATAAACAATACTACGTAATATATGTGTATGTAGTCTACAATTTCAATCATTTTCTTTTCATAAAAAATCAGGCTGACGTGGACAATAATGGTACTATTGACTATGGGGAGTTTATAGCTGCAATGTTGCACATGAACAAAGTCGAGAAGGAGAATCATTTATTTGCAGCATTTTCGTACTTTGACAAAGATGGAAGTGGATATATAACAGGTGATGAACTTCAAAAAGCTTGTGAGGAATTTGGCTTTAGGGATGTCCTCTTGGAGGAAATGATTCGTGAAGCAGATCGAGACAACGTAAGCAATCCTTTTCAAAATGATTTCGTTATACTTAGTAATTTTCTATGAAGGTTATAACTATAGGATATAATATATGTATATACACAAAAGAGCATTGGAGAGAAAGAAAGGTACCAACTACACAATATTATGATATACTCCGTAATATATATAGATACCCACATTATGTTTCAGAGTTCCATATTAAAATGTCAATCTCATGGGAGAGCTAAATTCAAATTCCATATAGAATGAATTAACTAAAATGCCCCACAAGCTGGTGGAGCGTTGGTACACACCAACTTGAACTAAGTATGCTCTTTGTGAGTCTTAACCAGATCGACATTCTCTTTTCATTGTAATGGGCACTGATACCATATGAAGAATTGATGTTCTATTCTAAAAGACCCGCCTAATATGATGAGTAGTTTAATACTTTATATAGGAGTTTGTCATTTTGTGTGAGGTTGGATTAATAATATGCTCCTTTTCTCTATTCTTAGTAATTTTGATATCTCCTACTACTTCAGGATGGTCGCATTGATTACGACGAATTTGTAGCAATGATGACTAAAGGGAATGCAGATTTAGGCCAGAAACGGTTATAAAATGATCTAAAATCAGCTTTAAGGAGGCAACACGGGCTTCTTGATACAGCCAATGGACTTTCTGTTTTGGCCTTCATCTTTTGAGAATGCTTGATTGGTGGATCTAGCCATTTATTGGTAAATTGAGTAAAAACTAGAGTATGCAACAAGTAACAGCCATGCTTTTCTCAACGCAAATGATGGTGACTTTATGTGTGGTAAGTGTGGTCATGGTGCTCAATCAAGCTGCTTAAATCAAAGAAGTTTCAGCGTGATTTAGCTCATGATTTAATACTTGCAAATTGTAATTGACAATGATGGTTTATCCTCCATGATTATGATGATTTATGAATGAATGAAAAAGATGACGCATCCAAATTATTGTTGAGCTTTCAAGTCCCATGATCAAACTTATGCATCAGGAGGACAAGTTTACAACTATGATCATTATTAATTATTATATGGGGCTATGATTCATAAATAGATATCTTAAAACAGAATATGTCTTTCCACATTCTCCCAATTGGTTGGTGATGATGTTGTGATTGAGATTACAGATGGTGCCAGGGATAGCTGGCAGTAGAGATGGTCGCCAATAATGGCCAGGAACACCAACATACTGGTGGTTTCCAAGTTCCAAAGGTTACGAGGGCAAAATGTGGTGGCGGTGGCGGTGGCGGTTGATTAGAGTATAGTGCTATCACGTTAATTGTAAACTTGTTGATGTTGGTGGAAGTTGACTTTTATGGTAGCAAACTAGTAACCAACAATGGAAGATAATGCCTATATTTTAGGGTGGTGGGGACTCATGAGGTGGGTTGACGATGGTGGTGGTTCAAAGCCGTCACCATGGCTATGGTGACAGATTCAATCTATTCAAGGGCTTTTATGTCAACAACCAATTTTTTGAAAATAAAATGCATAGATAAACGCGCATAGTTGATGTAATAGTAATAGTGTATTAGTGTATATGTTTCCAAGTACTATCGGAGTAGTATTTTACACTTAAACTTTTAATCCTAATTGCTTGTTTTCTATTGTTGGAAAAGCTACTTTTATTGAATGAGGTTTTGACATTAATAATACTATAAGAAAAAGCTGTGTACAAAAATATGATTAATAATTTATGAGGTACGCAGCAAATAAAGAACTACTAGTACGTAGTAATATTTTATAGGCTAAAGGGTCAAATAGGTACATGAACTAACTTAAAGTGTTCAATTAGCCCCTTATATAGGAGGTTCTGCCCGGCCGTCGCCAATTGCGGCGGTTCCCGGTGGAATTTTTTTATGAAATTTTTTGAGCATCTTCTTCATTAAGTCTAGTTTACCCATACCAAATTTCAGCTAAAAATTCAATCGGGAAGGCAGTCAAATGATTTTCCGAAATGTACTGCGCTGTTTAACAGCACAGTTATCTTCAAAAAATCATTTGAATTCCTTCCCGATTGAATTTTTAGCTGAAATTTGGTATGAGTAAACTAGACTTAATGAAGAAGATGCTCAAAAAAATTCATCAAAAAATTCCACCGAGAACTGCCCTAATTGGCGACGGCCGGGCAGAACCTCCTATATAAGGGGCTAATTGAACATTTTAAGTTAGTTCATGTACCTATTTGACCCTTTAGCCTATTTTATATTTGAGTAAAATGCATAACTAGTCCCTAAACTATCGGCATCATATCATTTTGATCCCTGAACTAACAAATCTATCATTTTAGTCCCTAATCTATGTAATTCATATTAATTCAGTCCTTCTCTCCATATTTTGACGTTAAACTAACGGAATGTGCTTAGTTAGTGCATGTAAATCAACATACTTATAAGACAAAACATAACTTTAAAATTCTGATTTAATATCTAAATAAATTAGAATGAAAACTACTATCAAATCATAATACAACGCGTTGTATAAAGTTATAACATAATATAATACTTTCGTTCTCTTTTAAATGCAACATTGGACTTATTGCATTATTCACATGTTCTACTTTGACTCTATTTTATTTAATACGGAGTAATGTATTATAAATTAAATTTTAAAAAATGTTAAATTCCTCTCATTTTAAATTTTCTAATTTTTCTTTAATTTTTTGTTAAGAAGGAATTAAAGATATTAATGGTCAAAGTTGTGTGTTGGCAAACGTGAAACTTGTGTGTTGACAAATTTTGAGAACTATACAAATATTAGTAAAAAAATAAAAAAATAGATTTTAAAATTTGAAAATGAGAGGAATTTAACACTTTTTTTAATTTATTTTATAATACATTACTCTGTATTAAAAGTAAAACATATGACTAGTGCAAAAAGTCCAACGTTGCATTTAAAAGAGAACGTATATAGTATATTACGATAGTACTACCTCCGTCCCACTAAGATTGGGACATGAGAAGGTGACACGGTTATTAAGAAGAATGGATTTGTGTGGTTGATATTAAATTGATAAAGTAAGAATAAAGTAGGAATGATTTAGAGCCACACAAATTTTACCAAATTTGGTATGGGACAATCTTAGTGGGACTTCCCGAAAAGGTAAAATGGGACAATCTTAGCGGGACGGAGGGAGTATGTCTTAACGCGTTATATTATGATTTGATAGTAGTTTTCATTCTAATTTAATTTATTTAGATATTAAATCAGATTTTTATAAGTTATATTTTGTCTTATAAGCATTTTGATTTACACATACATGCACTAACTAAGTACATTCTGTTAGTTTAATGTCAAAATATAGATAGAAGGACCGAACTAATATGAATTACATAGATTAGGGACTGAAATGATAGATTTGTTAGTTAGGGACTGAACTGATAGTTTAGGGACTAGATATGCATTTTACTCTTTATATTTTACGGAGTATGTAATATGAATGTTATTGTGCCCTCTAAAGCCGTAAGAAGAGAGGTATATACGGAAAGCTAATATGAAGTATATGGAAGCTAAAATATATGGAAGGCAAAATATATAGTTACCTAAGAAAGACTTGACCTTATAGCTAATAATAATATGACCATATATGGTCATCCGTAATTGTTTTAAAATAATACTTAAAAAAATGATTAATATGAAATTTGCATTTCCACCCTCGCCCAGTGACGACGACCCATAAATGAGGAATTTATGAATTCATAAAGGGATTTGTCCTAAATACATGTAAAAACGTTCAGGAATTCCAAAAGATAGTCAATGTTGTGTTTTAATTCCCAAAATATATAAGTGTAATTAATGTCATGATTTGGCAGTACCACACTTTAAGCGTGACAATATTTTTCGAACCTGGTAGTAATTACTCCTATTTAAGGAATAAAAACACGATAGTCCTATACCGAAATTCCAAAACGTTTATACTCAATTTCAGAAAATTTCACATTTATAAATACTTTTTCGTTGTTTCCAACTTTTTCGATAAATATATATCTCAAAACCGAGAATGATGGTTCAGTCCACGGTCAGGGTGGTCAGTCGACTCCATCTAAAAGTTCGAGAGTATAAAACATTTAAATATCATCGATTTGATATATGATGGATGACGTACTCTAGTAATTTACTACGAGTAAATAAATTATGACTCCTGAAAAATAAGCATTATCTAAATTTGAAATGAGTAAAATTTGATGTGTAATATTGATTATATTTTAAATTTGAAAATATCGTTTAATTCACTCATTACTTACATGAACTCTACAAAGCTATAATCTCTAGTTTAAACTACCATTTCCAAAGCTACATATGCAAAGTTCAATTTAGGTATAGTTTAAAAGTGATATGATCCATTCTTTTTATTCTAGATTTCGTAAATTTTCGACCCACTTGAATCACTTGTCAGGCTCCGCCACTCGTGAGAAGGATGGATTTAGGGATGTGCGTGGCAGCATGGGATCTAGCTCACTTTATAAGAGCATCTCCAATGATAAAATGTGCACGGTGCACACGTGGCATGAGAAATAGCCACATAAATATTAATAAATAAATTCTTTCATTCCTTATTTGAATGATTTTATACAGTTTTGGTAAGTTTTTCTCTACAATGTCAAGGAGACCGTCTAGATGTTGACATTGTTGTTGACATTGCAGGGAAAAACTTACCAAAATTGTATAAAATCATTCAAATAAGGAGAGAGATAATTTATTTGCTAATATTTATGTGGCCATCACTCATGCCACATGTGCACCGTGCACATTATAACATTGGAGATGCTCTAAGTGTTGTTCTATGTATATTACGCAGTAATATTTATAATTGAATTTCTTAGCAGTCCATACCAAAAATTGGTATTCACCCTATCAATATAATTCAGTGTTTTTTCTACAATCCAGGACTGTCGTATTCACTCAACATTTTTTTTTAATTAAAGTCCTACTTTTATTATTATACATCATCTTTTATCAAATTGTTTTAAGAAGTTATAATTTGAAAAGTCAATCGTTCAATTGTAAAAATAAATAAATTTGGATATAATAACGACATAAACAAGTCTGACTCACCTCTTTTGTCACATTATAGCCAAAAACGCACTTGCTACAATTATGTTTTTAAGGTTTTATGTTTATATCAAACGTAATTACATGCTCATATATACTATTCGTATTAAAATTAATGTTGTTTATAAAAATGTGATCTCCATAGTTGTAAAAAAGTAATTATTTAAGAACGTAATTACATACACGTAACTTGACAATAATTGTAACCAGTGGCGTATCCAGGAAATTTGGCGAGTGAAGGCAAACCTTCACTACAATTTAGTCTCATATTTCACAAATTGCAAATCACATTATTAATATTGTTTGATTATTTACTTTAAGATATATATGTACAAGTATGAATAAAAAGAAGATTAATTTATATTATGTGTGTGTAAAGATTTAATTGCAGATAAAATTTTACGAAAATTACCTAAATATAAGTTAAACATAACAAAATTTAGTGATTTTTTAGCCTTTCATTCTTTTAATATGAAAGAAAACACTCTTAATCCTATTTTAGATTTTTTTCCCACATTTAACTCTTATTTTGAGCAATTTCTTATAAAACTTTAGACATATATATAGGGGTTGGGTTGGGGTTGAGTTGGGGTTGAGTGGGGGCAGCTGCCCCCACTGCCCCATAGTGGATACGCCACTGGTTGTAACTTAGGTGCTGTTCTGTTCGTCTTATTCTTATTACTTATTGCTTATTCTTATTTTATTCAGATCAGATCAGATCAGATCAGAAAAATTCAGATCAGATCAGATCAGATCAGAAAAATTCAGATCAGATCAGATCAGATCAGAAAGATTCAGATCAGATCAGAAAGATTCAGATCAGATCAGACCAGATCAGAAACATTCAGATCAGATCAGAAACATTCAGATCAGATCAGATCAGATCAGAAAAGTTCAAACATTATTATTATTATTATTATTATTATTATTATTATTATTATTATTATTATTATTATTATTATTATTATTATTATTATTATTATTATTATTATCATTATCATTATCATTATCATTATCATTATCATTATCATTATCATTATCATTATCATTATCATTATCATTATCATTATCATTATCATTATCATTATCATTATCATTATCATTATCATTATCATTATCATTATCATTATCATTATCATTATCATTATCATTATCATTATCATTATCATTATCATTATCATTATCATTATCATTATCATTATCATTATCATTATCATTATCATTATCATTATCATTATCATTATCATTATCATTATCATTATCATTATCATTATCATTATCATTATCATTATCATTATCATTATCATTATCATTATCATTATCATTATCATTATCATTATCATTATCATTATCATTATCATTATCATTATCATTATCATTATCATTATCATATAATATTATAATAATATAATACTAATTATAATAATAATAATCATATTATTATTATATTATTGTAATAATAATAATCATATTATTATTATATTATTGTAATAATAATATGAATATAATAATATCATTATTATAATATTAATTGTATTAATATTACTATTATTATATTATAATATTA